TGCTCGTTGAGATTGTTACATCGGCATTGTTAGGATGATAGCTCGTATGTACCTCAACGTTTCTCTCAATTGGATGAACCCGTTCCAAACGATTTATGAATCCCATTTCTCTGTCGTTATGGCCCTTGCCGCCACTAGCTTTGGGAGATCTTTTTGTTTTATCCTTTGAGTTAACTATGGGATATACCGGAAGAACATTAGATGATGCATTATGACACCGAAGAACATATGGTTGTAAATGTGGATGTCTTAACAATTCCGCAGCCTGTCAACAAAGAGAAGCAACGTTAGAATCTATAGTTTCGTCCAAATTAACCGTGCAAAACAAGATCGGTTGAACTCACGGTTGGTCTATGTTCTGGATTTTTCCTCAGCATGCTCTTGATAATTTGTTTCCTGTTTTAAGTGCGTCATCTTTCAGATATATCATTATGTTTAAATATAAAAAAACGATGACGGAAGTGTGAAACGGAATGGTTTGAATAGTTACTTACAATGTGGAAGAATAAACAATTGGCAGCGGAGAAATGGAGGATCGGTTTATTTTATTGATTAGTCCAGCCATGTCCTGTTTCATTCATTCTCTCATTTGTTAAATTATTTTCATTCTTAAGATTTAACTCATGCAGATGGTTCAAGTTCTCACCGGAGCACGAAATGCTGATTGATGTGCAGCGATCTCAAACATGCAGCAACCTTAACATACAAAGAGATACCGTTTTTACATGTGGTTATATATATCATTAAGATTTGTAAATTAGTATAAGACATTCATGATACTAACCGAGAGACCATATATCAGATTTATAACCGTATGGTATGTCTGCGAGGAGTTCAGGACACATGTAATTTGGAGTTCCAACGACCTATACAAGGTATAAGAAGATTGAAATTAGAAACAGTTATGATATGACCATGTCAATCTCAAAGTATCGTTACATCAGAAATAAGAGGTCGCAATACCGAGGAAGTGAGGTCTTCTCCATTAAGTCTCTTTGCAAGACCAAAATCGCCTGTATGATCACACAAAAAACGCATTTCTCTTGATAACATAGCACATGAAAGTCAAAAAAATTGAGCTTTCAAAGGATAATGCGACGTACCTAGCCGAATATTGTTGTCCTTGGTGAGGAATATGTTGGAACACTGAAATTTTACATTAAATTGCATTCAGTAAACATCGCATGAATTTCATTTTTATTTTATTTTTCTGAGTATAAGAGAAGATGTAACACCTTAAGATCCCGGTGGATTACACGGTTCGAATGCAAGTAGTCTACAGCTATCAACAGTTGTGTCAGCCACTTGCAAACCTTCTGCACTTGAAATCGGAAATCCAGAGTGAGTAATGAATATTCATAATGAAACGTTAAGGAATGGAAGATTAAGCTATTAATTACCTCCTCCGGAAAAAATGATCCTCGAGCTTTCTTAATGCTCTCGGCCCTGCTCCACAAAGAATGCAAAGTTCCATCATTAGGACTTCGTGTTACTGATAATATATCTCTTTTGTGTTTCAACTTTTTATCTTCTATGAAACACGTGAATCTCGGGAAATCCCAAACTCTTTTTCTTTCCTTCTACTAACAAATATTTACTTTACTTACATGTCACCTCCTTCACAATAGCCTGTTATAATGCATACATGGTCCTCCTACAAAACATGAAATATCAGAAACATGCCTACAAAGAGTGATAAACATCGGAAAATCCTGATATATGGATCACTCATTAAACTGAAAATTAAGAATTCAAAATGAAGGTTGTGTTCTTTTTACCTTCTCCACCCAAGCATCTTTGTAATTCACAATGTATGGGTTATTCAGTTTTGCAATCAGATTCATCTGAAATAGAGACGAAATGTGTCATTTTTATACAAGTAGACATAAAGTACTATGAAGCACCGACACAGACGCAGACATCGGACACGGCCCTAACATGCGTCAATGTTCTTAGTATCAGTATCGGACACTAACATGTATTGAAAACTCTAAACATGTCTTCGACCAAAAGTGTATGTTGCCATAAGCTTATGAGAGTAACAATGTAAACAGTCTATAGTTTAAAAGAGCTTACGGAAACACCTTGTGACATGCCCTTAAGCTGTTTTTAGTTTTTTTCCATAAGCTTTTAAGAATAACTATGAAAACAGACTATAGTTTAAAAGAGCTTATGGAAACACCTTATGACGTGTCCTTTAGTTGTTTTTAACCTATTTCCATAAGCTTTTGAGAGTAACAATGTAAACAGTCTATTGTTTAAAAGAGGTTATGGAAACACCTTATGACGCGCCCTTAAGCTTATGGAAGCTGCTTTTAGCTAATTTCCATAAGCTTTTTGAGAATAACTATGAAAACAGTCTATAGCGTAAATAAAAACAACATGCATCTTTTATCTCTTATTATAGAAACAGCTTATACATAAAACACTAATTAGATACACAATAGTATAAGTGATAAATTAAGTTGTTATCCAAACAAGACCCAAATCCAAAAGAACTCTAATCAATCAAGGAAATGAAGAACTTATTAAACAAACAAATAAATAATTGTATGGTGGTTACTGTGTGTATGCATTAAATAGATGGATATGTTACACCAACCTCTTGGTGTGCTGTACGTTTGAATTTCTCTCCCTGTTTGGCCAAGCGAATCTTTTTCAGCACATACCTACCGGGAGATTAAATCATGAAATCAATAATACTTGAGGTTGATAACTTAACTGTATCGAATACCAAAGTCAAAAAAGCTTAAATTTTTCTTAATGGGTTTGTCCATTTTTCACAAGCTAAAAAGGGAAACAAAAATTAACATCTTGAAGTATAGTCTTTGTTGCATGGTTTAAACGATTAAGGAAAAAAGTTAAAACTGTAATTGACTTAACTTACCTCTTTTTCTCAAACTTGTGAAGAACAAGAAAAGCAGAACCAAACGCTCCTCTACCAATTTGTTCTATCACTTCATACTCTTCCATTTTCTTTGACTTCATCTCACTGTTCTCTATCTCCATCCAAAAAACAAAAAAAAAAACAGAAGCTAGAAAACCAAACAGTGAGGCACTGAAGCAACAGATCCTAATTACTTACAAACCCAATTCAGGAAATCAAAAGAAAAAGAAGAAAAACTATTCTTTTATGGAAATTATAACCAAGTTACCAACCCTTTATACCCAAAAAATTGATGTAATTGAAGAATAGCTTTATAACCTTAAGAGCATTAATTGAGCAAATAAATAAATGTATTTAGAGTATGAAGTTTCAGGACTATTCAATGGGGTTTCAGAAACATTGAATTGAATTGTTTTCACAAGAAAGATGAGAGAAGTTACATTCCATAATTATGACAATAACTACCTCCTTAGAGAACTGAAGTCAAGAGAGAGAAAACAGAATATATCACTACCAAGAAAATTGAAAGGTTTATGACTTACCCAAAAGAAAGTGCTGAGAGAGAGACAAAAGGTAGTACTGTAGTAAGAATAGAATGGAATGGCAACAAAACAAAGTCAAGTTTCTAAAAGCTCAATAGAAAAGGAAGGTTAGTGTCACATTTATAAATACTTTTATTTTATTTTATTTTATATGGATATAAAAAATAAATAGTTATTTTGTTAATGAGCCTTTTTGTAGGTGGAAAAGAAATAAAGGAGAAGTCTTATTTGGTTGCTTGAGTTTACAGATTATAACAATAAGGAATGTTCCTAGCACATGTTGTGATGTCACAGTCTTTGTACCTTAATAAACAAAATCCATCAAATGTTTTACATGATCCAATTGCAATAGCCAATAAGGAAATAGTATTCTATTAAAATTTAAATTACAGAAACATAAAATAAAAGTCTGTGCTCGTGTGATGGGCTGGCCATTGGCCAACCACTTTGCTGGTCCAGGGGCATGATATGCCTACAACATTCTTTCTTTGAGGTGAAGGAATTCTTTTTTTATAGGTTTTTGATGAATGATGATAGGACCAACTTTTAGTTAATTTGCAAATGTGAAGTGTTAATGTTAAAGTTACTAGTTTATGTTAAGCCTATGTGGGTCAATAACCAGGTTGTTGTGATTATGTTGTATACATATTTGTATAATTTAGGTGTTAAGTTGGTTTATTTAGCTCTAAGAAATGTAATAATCATTTCAGAAGCATGTGCTTAACAAAAGAAATTTCAGGTTAATTACATAATTTGGTGATCATGGTGTCAAATCAAGAACCTAATGAGTTTGCTTAACCAAACCATGAATGAATGAGGTGTAATGTAATGTCAGGGTAGTAAACCGTATGGTTGAGGTTTCAAAATACATGATCATGAGAAACTCATTAAAATATGATGCAGAGGATAAGAAACCCGCAAGTTTACAGTTTTTGTTACTTAGATGAGTTTATATCCATATATTCAAGGACAAGTTATTCCTGTTGACCTTCACGTGCAAATGGCTTTTCAGAGATCAAGATAAAAAAAATTGGAGTATTAAGAACAATAGACTCATCTTCCTCTGCTTCCAATAATTGCCTTTTTTTCCTTTCCAAGCTAGTATATACTTTTCCTCACATGCAAGCATGACATTGTTATGGGTAAGTTAATAGTACTTATTTGGGTTATCTGAGAGACGGTAAAAAATTTAATAAATTTGTAGGAGAGACTTCATTTATTGATGCAACCAGTTATTTCTTATAAAGCATTTATCAATAGCCTGAATTAGCTCAGCTCATTGAAGACTTCACAAATGTCACAGATCTTTCATACATCTACAAAACTAATAAACATTCAGAAGAAATTTATAAAACCAACAACCACTTTAGTGTCTTCCACACACAAAAGTAAACAATCACCTACTGTCACAACTCAAGTAAAATGGTTGTTCCAAACCAGGTACATTACATTGCACATAAGAAAAAACACCAAAGTAGATTTGAAGAAAAGAACAACCACTAACATTGGACTACTACCATGTTCACACACTTCACACAAATAAATTATACACACATAATAGTATTTTTTTTTTACTTTCGCTTTGATTGCTTTGGTGTTTTTGAAGACCTTCCCTTCTCCAGCTTTTTCTGTGCAGCTGCGAATTCCTCTTCAGAAGGTTCTTGCATATTGTCACCACCATACTTCGATACTAGAGACGAGAACATTGAATCAAACTGGCCTTTCCTCTCATTTTGGCGTTGTGATATGACTGCAAACAGGTCTGTTTCAGATTGCTTGTTCGATCTATATAGAAAACAATGGATCAGTCCTCAATTACAGTGTGAATAAATGAATATAACAAGTAAAACTCCGAGTGATAAACATACTTTGCCTTTCTTTTTAAAGGACTTGTAGGTGGTTTGGTTTCTGACACTTCCTTAGCCCATTTCTGGTACACTTTTGTTGCCTTAAGTTCTCCTGCAGAATACGGAGAAAAAAACAATCATCAAGGAAGATACTTAACCATGAACTAAGACCTAGAGCAAATGTCTGACTGAAACCTCGGTTAGAAATATCTAATTAATGTTTCTTACCAGCAGCTATAGCCTCGTCAAGAATGTCCTTGAATCGGTGTGAGTCAAGTTTAGCATCGGAACAAAGCATTGAACAGAAAAGCCTGCAAAGAGAAGTTACTCGAGTTAACAAACTCAGCCTCTTATGAAAATGGTTCATGCACAAAACAAAATTAACACTGTTTCTTACTTGTTCATATTCCCCTTGCACTTCTTGTACATATCAATCAAGTCATTCTTCTCTGAGTCAGATCCTCTGTAGTTTGCTTCAAACTCCTCAATATCAGCTTCAGTGACCTGTAGTTCATTACAAAGCAACGCATGTAAAAACAATTATACCACTACAATGCATCAGAAAATGGGATATCATATATTAAACAAATACCTTCTTGTACATTGTTCTGAAAAACTCGTAAAGATTCTGAACATCTCCTGCAAGACCCTGGTTTTCAAAAAAGATGAATAAGCCATAGATGTCTACAACATAGCCATATTGCTAAAGGATCCCAAGTTCTAAATTCTAATTGTTGGGCCTTTAACTAATAACTCAAGAAACATTTAATACAACATATTAGAAAGACTTAAGAAACCAAATGCTCATTAACTAGTGTTCTTAAAGAACTTATTAGAAAGACTTGGAAAATCCAACATATTATGCATATTAACATACCATAAGGGGTCACTTTAAACCTAGGCATTGCTAATTGAAAATCAAACATGTAATGTTATATTAATTCATCAGCAGAAGCAATATCAATTAATAAAAGACAACAATGACAGTACTACCAGTAGCAACAACATTACTCACATCATCATCAATACAACCAGTCTGATCATAAAGGGCTCGTTTCTCTTCGTCACCGAGAATGGAAATAACTTTTTGCAGTTGTTGAAATTTCTCTTTAGCTTCCTGTACGAACATAAGAACTTACAGCTACCAAAACTAAAAAGCTAACAAATGAATAAGATAAAAACACAATCCACTGCATAAAAGGAAGCCTTAAAGAATCACCTCATCATCAGGGTTCTTATCAGGATGAAGCCGCAATGCTAACTTGTAATATGCCTTCTTAATTTCCTGTTGAGAAGCTGTTTTCTCCAAACCAAGAACCTACACTAGCATGTTTTTAGATTAGCAATTGAAGATATCGAATTTGATTTTTCCTAATGTAAAACGTGATTTCAGCAAAGTTCTATGAATTAAAATCGATTAACTCCATAATACCTCAATTCAACTCTGAGTAAAACAAAATATTATTGTCTTAAACTGAAAAATTTTCACATCAAAACAAAAATCACTTAAATTCAAATTCAATCTAAGAGAATCAATTTGATCTTCCATTCACATCAATTCACTTCAATTTTTTTAGTGATAAACGGAGCGTGAGTGAATTAACGGTACCTGGTAGAGACTCTTTTGAGGTTGATCTTCCATTTCTTCGTCATCGGAAACCCTAGCTTTGTTCTTTGGCGCCATTTTTTCGGAGATTGTTTTCGTTTTTTTCTTTTTTGTTCAGATAGAGTGATACGAAATACTTGGTTGTTCCCGCTATAAAACGTGATTCCAGGTTATTCTTCTTTTTCTTTTCCCGCCTTTATTGTTTTGGTGTAGATTATAGAGGATGTGACGTGACCCACGCGAAAATCCACCATATGCACCCAAAATAAGCAATGAGGCCTTAGAGAAATTCCTTTCCCCTCACCCCCGACTCCTTCCAAGCACTCCTTGAATCCCAAATAATACTATGTTCAAATTCTAAGATGCTCTATGTACAAATTTAGACAATCTTATTCACTATTTTTTCTTCACTATATACCTTTTAAAAAAGCACTACACAAAATTTTACTTTCAAATACATAATCAAATTAACAATGCATTTCATACAATTAATTTTGCTTTCAAAACACAATCAAATCATCAATGGTATAGTTCGAATTACAATTCAAGCATTTTTAAAATATGTTTGAGTCATTGAATTTGAATATTGTTATTATTGAGATAGTTGTGTTTTTTTAAGTTATTTACATTTATACTTGTGAAAAATACAATAGTGGAAATTTTGTTTATGTTAGAGAGTTCAAGAGAGTTTTTAAGATTCTGATTAGGTAAAAAGTAAATGTTTCTCTCTCAATCCTAGGAGTTGGAATCTTTGTAGATCTAGCTCACGGACCAAGTTGTGGGTGAAGAAACATTTTCATCCCAACTGTTTGACTATAGTGTGGGGATAAGAGACTCAGTCTTTCTCAAATATTATAACGAGTGGGTTTTTTTTTAAAGGTGGTAATCCAATTTTGAGTCAGACGTCCATGGCCCATCATATCACGACTACCTGATTGGGCCTCTAAACTCTTATAGTGTTCTTGGGTTGGTCAAGTCATGGGTTGATCTCTTCTAGAACCCAATCATGGTTATCTCATCTGTAGTCTCTCAAGACCAAAGTTTATGAAGGGTATAGTGGTTTAAGCTATCTGAAAGATAATCTCTTTATGGATAAGAATTGTAGAAGCGGGTTTCTTAGGAAAGGCTTGGAGGGCAAGCCCCTTGGGTAAGACTTGGAGGGTAAGTCCCTCGAGCAAGGTTTGGAAAGCAAGTCCCTCAAGCGAGGCTTGGAAGGTGGGTCCATCAGGTAAGGCTTAGAGGGTGAGTCCCTCAAGCGAGACTTGAAAGGTGAGTCCCTCGAGTGATACTTAGAATGTGTGTCTCTTAAGCGTAGGAAGAACGTGAAGCACGTAATGTTTTGTTATGATGAGCTTGTCTTGGGAAGGCGTAGATGTTGTGAAGCGCGTAATGTTTTGTTATGATGAGCTTGTCTTGGGAAGGCGTAGATGTTGTGAAGCACGTAATGTTTTGTTATGATGAGCTTGTCTTGGGAAGGCGTAGATGTTGTGAGTCGTTAATTAAATTGCAAGCACAAAATTTGAATTGTGGATGCTTCGTGACCTACTAGCAGGTACAAACCTAATGTCTAGTCATAATGGTCCACTCAACCTAGGTATCTGGGTCCATAAATTAATGATTTATGTTTGCTCTTCCCATTTTCCTCTTACGTATTATGCATTCTTCTAAGGAGTTTTTCTTCTTCAAGCTCAACTTTACCATCACCATCAACTTACATTCTTGGGTATTAAATGTTTTTCTCTTTTTTTTAGGATAGTAATTATCATGAAGTTATATGAAAATAGCAACACCATATAGCCTTTTACCCATGACAGAGTTTTGAAGATGCAGAAACATTGTGGAGAGAATGTGAGGTTGTTGGATGAGACATTTGATTATAAACTTGTAGAATTATGAATGTTTTGTAGTTGCAATAACAGTTCTAATTCTAGTTGTAATATTGATTCCATTTTACCATATTTTTCCTTGGACAGACAAGATTAATGGTGGAGATTAATTCTTCAAAATGTTTGGGAGTCAAAGATTTTGAAAATATTTATACAATTAAGGATAAGGTGAATTTCTTATGAAATAGCATAAACATGTCTAAGTGTGGCGATAAAGAAGACGTTATATTAGATTTATGTTTTAAAGAGGAAATTATTAACATGGAGACCTTTGCTGACTCTGAAGACAGGTTCTTCTATATGCATCGTCATGTTATCTATGATTTGAGGGTACTAACTTTTTTCGTTATATGGCACTAAGACAACAAGTCAGGGCAGATGGGTGACCATAGACACTCTGCATGGGAGGTCTCTATTCACTCCTCATTTAAATAATTATAAGAACTAGAAATATATATGCATGATTAGTCACAAAGTCCCTTAAGTTAATTTAATATTTTGTTTTAGTCCCTCTAACTACAAAATATTACAAGTTAGTCCTTTAACTTGTTATCCTATTTGATACTTTCCGTCAATATCTGGCAAAAAGTGTTGTTAAGTTCTGCTAACATGGCGTAACAACGATGCCACATATATAAATCTGAGTCATCATATGTAGTTAAAAATTGATACGTTGTTTAAACTATGGGAGTTTTATTTTTGGAGGTTAAAAACTCTAACAAATCATTAATCATATATATATATATATATATATATATATATATATATATATATATATATATATATATATATATATATATATATATATATATATATATATATATATATATATATATATATATATATATATATAACTCTTCATAATCAATTGATTATGTGATAAAAGAAAGTGAAATAAAATTGCAGAGTCACCTAAAAAGTAATTAGAACAAAAATTGAATTATAAATGTAGTGAAGAGAGGATATTTGCAAAAGATATATCGAGTGCATCACTACTTGCTGAAAGAAGCAAAAATAATATACAAGTACATAACAATGAAAAAAAACATAGAAAAATATCCTCAATTAGTTATATGCTCGGGCTCTTAAATCTCTCCCTAGAGTATTTCTCATATTCTTTACTCCAATAAAAAAAAATACATGATCCGCAAAAGAAGAAGTTTTCATTATAGAAATTTTATTTAGTTAAGTCTAGACCACATATAATGAAAGTTCTAGTGTTACATTCATAGTTGTTGACTTCTTCTTATGTACGCCTACATATGCGAAATATGGTTAGCAGACAAGTTTGATATATTGATATTTTCCACCAGTCTCTGATGATTTAGTTTTGCAGCACAAATAATAAACGTAACACCGCCAATTTTTACTTTTACATTTGAGGAATTAAATACCCTATTATCTATTGAAAATATACATCCAGAGGTAAATGCAATAGTATCTTCTAAAATCAAATCTTGGTCTTTACACAATTGAGATAAAATCTCGATTATTTTATCTTGCAATCTCAGTGTTGAATTAAGAATGCATAATACTATTGGGATTATCAACTTGGCCTTATCAAGTCTTGTGTTTAGGAAACTAACACAGGAATAGTATCAGTGTCATTCACACAATTAGTAACAACATTATCAACTTTCTGAGAATGTAAGAGGCGTGTGATAGTTGCTGCAGCACGAGTTTTTCCAAAATTTGTGCCTTTGCGTAATACTCTGCTGGAAGGCAAGATAACTTCTTCTACAACAAATTTCTTTGTTATTTCAGCATCCAAAATAAGATTCGCAACATCACCTATAGCCATATCTTATACTTTTAAAACTAAAGAGTTAGCTAAAGTTCCTATAGCCATCTCAGCCACTTCCAAAACTGAATCGCTTTGAGCGACACATATTTATTGTCGAAGATTGAATTTAATACGGATTTAGGTGAGTTGGTTTCTAAGGTTTCAAAAGGGGTTTCCTCGGATGGTTCAATGGTGGCGGTGGTAGATCGATTGGGAAGATAAACAGTGGTGGAGGTGACGAGAGAAGATAATCTGAAGGTGATGAGAGAAGATAATGTAGAAGAATCGGTCAAGTGTGACCTAGGGTTCAAAAGAAAAAATCATGTCAGATAAAAATATCCAGATAGATGGCCACATCACCAAAACTTAAGGCTTTTTTGCTAAAAACGGGCCAAAATGACGAAATAGGGTAATAGAAGTGAAGTTAAAGGACTAATTTGTATCATTTTTAGTTAAGGGACTAAAGAGAAACATTAAATTAAATTAAGGTACTAAAAAATGTATTAAGCCAAATATATATGTGTGAGAGTATGGAGGAAAGATGAACATTCCATGATGATGTTTGAGGAGGATAGTGAAAATTGATTTCCTATACACTCGACAAGTGATCTTGTGCCAATAAAAAGCTTCAAATGTGACTTCTTAAGCGAGACAGATAAGGAAGTCATTTAGATTTTTAAGGAGTTATGTATTATGAGTTTAGGGAAATGGTGTAGTACAATCTAAGTGACGATACTGACAAGAAGATTGACGATATTTGTGAGTTTGTTCTTTATTTGAGCATTGTAATTGGTATGTTTACTTTGACTAACATTTATTTGTTTGCATGGGGTATGGATCCAATGAGCATTATTTATAGAAAGATTATTCATGTTACGAAGAAAGCTAGGTGGGGGTGAGAAGTGGTCAGATGACTCTAAAAGTCACTCTGCCGGCTTATTAGTCAAAGGTAGGGCTGGCAATGAACCGAACCAACTCGAAAATAGTTCGGAATTCGATTCGACAATTAAATCGTTGAACTAGGTTCATGAACCAAATGAGTTGAGTATGAGCGAAAAATTAAGTTCGTTAACTAAATGAGCTGAACTTGAACTATACATAGTTCGACTCGTTAGGTTCATGAGTCAACTCGATTACATATGAGAAGAATTATAATGTCTTTAAGATTAGGTTTAAATATTTACTCCAAATCTTAGACAAATTTAATCTTCAATTTAGTAGTTTTTGAATTAGACTCTCAAATGTATCTCTTGAAAGTTGTGTAGGTTTTGAATTATTAGATTTCGAAGATAAAGTTAAATTTCAATATGATAACTTTTATTTTATTTTAATATTTTATTTTAAAAATATATATATTTATTTAAAATTCAAATATACTAAAAAATATATATATTTAAAGAAATAGTTTT